AAATTATTTGAAATTAAATCATACGTCAAGGGGTTAATAAAACGAGAATTTTGGCGATATATATTTTCAGGTGCTGAGAAACTCAAACTTCAGTTCAAATCTTAGAAGCTTAGAAGTTATTTAATAGTTAACCTTTTGCACTCCACGAGTCTTTATTAATACGAACAATTACAATTTTATAATGTGACTTTTAAAAATAAAAAAGTATTCTTTTTTTCCCACAAAAATGTATAAATACTTACAATTTAAATTTTATTCGTATATTTCCTGAATTCAATTTGTACCTTCCTAATTGAAATTTGAATCGAGCTACGGTACGTATTATGTTTGTCGCCATAGCGGTGCTTGTAAAGTGCAAAGTGTAACATTTAATTGTATACTGTCAAGAAAAAGTTTAGGGATTGGATTTTTTTTTATAATTTTGGCATAATTTTACAGATGAACATTCAAATGGAGCATTTTCAACGCATCGTGCTGTTATATTTTGAAAAAGGAACAAACGAAGCCCAAACCTGTACAAAATGTAAAATGTACGGAGAGTGTCACCTAAAAACGAATCAAAAGTAGTTTTTTAAAAATTTTTATTTCTTTTAAAATACGCTCTCTGTAAAATCCCTTTAATGGACAACATCATTGGATTGGATTGGATTGTTCAACTAACTTCAGTTCAAATCTTAAAAGCATATATTTATTTGATAGTTAACAATTGTATACTGTCACGAAAAAGTTTGAAGATAATTTTGGCATAATTTTACAAAAGAACAACCAAATGGATCATTTTCAACGCATTATGCTATTATATTTTGGAAAAGGAGCAAACGAAGCGCAAACCTGTACAAATATGTAAAACGTACGGAGAAAGTGTCACCAAAAAATGAATGAAAAGTAGTTTTTTAAACATTTTTATTTCTTTTAAAATACGCTCTATGTAGAATCCCTTTAATGGATAAAACTTCGATTCCTAAGAGGTCATTAAATAGTGCTTGTTTAACTTTTTATGGGAATTATGAAGCTATCTGAAGGATAGGAATAGATTAGGACGTAAAATTTATTATTGAACGAAGATATTCTCTACTATAAAAGAGTTGCTTGTTTGCACGTTTAGAACCGTACGAACTTTTTGGCCATCCTAATATTCGTGTCGGATACGTGGTGTCCACTGGATGATTAACAAATTATTAATTAAATATTAACCACATTTTGTATTTTGAAACTTGTCGGTTATATTTTGGCATAATATCGCTCAACGTATTTGAAAATCATCGAAATCGTTTTTTTGCAAATATCTTGGACACTAAAACCCAGCAGCGTTGACATACATATTCAGGGGTGAATCATGCAATTGGGACGGGTTATACAGTGACTGTCACTTAAAATTGTACACCTAACGATTCAGTCGATTTTTATTTATGAATTGTAAAGTTTGCAGTAAATTACTGAAATATATATAGAGACACATAGTTTAATACTTATTTATTTTTGTATTACAAGAGTAGATTGAAATATTCGGTAATATGATAAATGAAAATTTTCGTTACGCATGAAACTGACCAGTCGGTAAAAATTATACACTGTCGGTAACACTGTAAAATTGGTGAATCCCCGATTTTCTTTTGTTTAAGGATGCATGGAAACGATGAGAGTATAACTTTGTTCGTTGTTTTCAGTGTGTTTTAACATGAATTGATAATTCTCGAGGATACCCTTCAAAATATTAATGTAAGCTATAATATAATACATTATAAAAATAATTTTACTGATAGGATAGTTTCACATGTAACGACAAATTTTGTTTGATATATTAATAATTATTGAAGGTTTTGTTTAATTTTTGTTATGTACCAAATAAAGAAGCAGTAAATTATATGTGTTTATATACCTGTTTTAGTAATTTACTGTTACGATGTACAAATAAAAATCGACTGAATCGCTAGACGTACAGTTTTAAATGACAGTCACTTGTATCTCGAATAGGGTAACAGATAGAATAAAAACTGTAGAGGGAAGAATTGAATCATACAATTGTGTCTATTTTTCCGTGACTTAATTTTTTTCACGAGTGCAACGAGGTATCAGAAAAATGTAGACGCACATTTCTTTTCAATGAAATTGCATACTTTTATTTACTCAAATTAGGGAACCACGTCCGAAAAATCAATATATCACGAGATATTTCACAAACCCTTTAGACATTTTTTTATGGGGTTACTTTGACAACATATTTCAAGGTCATCATTTTGTTCGAATTTCCGCCATTTTTCCATATTACGTGACGCGAATCGACTCGATTACGCGACCAAATAATTTTTATTAATTTTCCAATCGAGTACACGATAAAATAAATCCAGGAGATTGGGTGAAAAAGAGTTGGAAAACTGAGCCTACAAAGCAGAAGTCTCGTTTTTCATCCGTGGGCGAATCTAGCCGCGTATATCCATCGGTGAAGGTACACACGTGAGCGAAATTGTGAACGGTCTAATAATAACCCGCGCACTTACTTATATGGACGGTTGATTTTAATTCAGGCAAAAACGTCGGTAAGACCTCGTCCTTTTGGTGCGCGGGGTCAGTAATCATCATAATCCAAAAACGCGACGAGCATCCGAAACCGGTAAAAATCGTCCGTAAGTCCTGGCGTAACGTTCGGGTAAAGATTGTTTCAACGCGAACTCCTTGATCTTGGATTATTTTCGTCGGTTATGCTAAATACTCGTTGTCGACGAGACAGTATGTACATCCGATCCGGAATAAATCGCAACTATGCACTATCGCGTGTCGTTTTCAACCACGAATGGTCGGACCAAGAGTTTTAAACAATTGAACACAGTGTGCCAGATTCGAATTTCAACCACTCAGGATATCGATTCAACGCTGTTCCTATAAAAAGTGTTGAAAGACAGCATTTCAAATTTTCACTCGATGTCCCTTTTCTAAGTTCAATCGTTTTTTTTTCTTAACAACATGATATTTAAAATAATATAATTATCTCCACACCTTTTGGTCGAAATAGATATAGAATCACGGTACAAATAATGTTAACAATTCTTGAAATAATTGGTTTTAGTATTTTGCAGTTTCATTAAGAACAGCAATATATAATTATTTTTGGCATAGATACTAATTAAACTTGAATGGAAGAGATCTTTTTATCCTATTCGTGAGACACAAGTATAACAATTTTAGCTTTATTTAATTTTACATGCGACAAACAAACATATTTCTTCTTATATTGTACACAATTATTATTATACCTTCTTTAATATAAGTCAAATTAATTTTACCAATAAATTTTGTGTAATTTTTTAAATAAATCGTACTATGTTGTACGTCCATTCTTCATAGATAATTGTAGATTTAATTTTTTGTGTTGTGTAATTTTTATACTTATGTTTAAATATAACACCACATTCAGGATGAGACCTTTTAGTAACATGCTTTGATGGACAATAATAATTTGAGATTTAATTTATATACTACAAGCAATAATTCGTGTTGTTTATTACGTCTTTGTTTATTATATAAAGATTAATTTTCTAATATTATATCGTACAATCACCTTTTATTAGAAAAGTTTTAAATTATTAAATGAACGATACAAATGAAATAATTCATTCTGAAGCTAGTGAAAGTCTTGTATAAGTAGTTGAACGACGAAATTGTATACTCTTTTGACCAATTAAAGTCCCATTAGTTGTTGGCATTAATTGAACTCTGCTTGATCCATTCAGCACAGATTTTTAAATAATGTAAATGTGAATTATTAGGAAAAAACTGTATTGTCAGCATTATCCTTGAAATTGTCAATATTTAATGACGATAAATGTTCGTTTTATCGAATAACTAATAAACAGTGTGACAATATTTACTTATCTTCGGTAACAATAACCAGAATAAACATAGAATAAGTCAAAATTATTATGATAAATAGGATATAAAGGAGAAAACACATCAAAAATATTAAATAATATAACTTATCTACGGGTGTCAGTAAAAACAATTACATATTGTACCATGTGTAATAATACTTTTATAAAAACCAATGTTTACATTTGTATTAATTAAATAAAATTATTTTTCGCGTTCTGAATTCCGTAAAAATAAAAATTATTATCGATCGATTAATTTAAGAGTATTTTTCTAAAAATTTTAAATTCTCCGGTTCGAGACATCTTTGTCTCGAATATCTGTTGCTTTCTGCACACGATGCACCAAGTATTTTAAGAAGATTAAGTTGACAGATTTGAAATTTAAAACATTTCGAAAATAAATCAAATGTTCTGTGCTCATATCTGACAAGCGTTTCATTCTAATTCCACGCTGCGTCATTATACTCATACGAACTGGTAAAATATTACAACTTTATATCATCAATTTTGCGAATTTTATTCACGTAAAAATTTTTGCTCCGAAATAAAAAATATTCGGATGGAATTTTTAAATTTTCCACGATTCAAACAATTCTATAAGGACGGGCACAAGTGATAATTAAGACGATAGCGCAGGGCTTTGAAAATAATATTATTTTGGAACATATTCAAAAATTCCAATTGATACATTTATTTAAAGAGTAATTACAATCATGTGTGAACTTTTTTCAAATGAAAAGATTTAACAATCAGTTTTTGGCCAGGCTAGAAGACAATTTAGGAGTTTCAAGTAATTATTTAATATCTAATAATTCTGTAAAGGGGGGAAAAATTCTCGTTAGGATAATAAATTTCGAACAACGAATAAAAGATGAGAAAAAATTAGAATTTCAATTGTATAGGATTTATGTTTCCGCGTTGAACGAATAAACGCTTGTTCTATTGCTCGATGGAATAAACGTCGGGAATAAATTGCTATAAAGGGTTTTTTTTTATTTGTCTACGATTCGAATAAAACTCTGACCACGTCTGTGATTTTGTAACCAGTTTTACTATAAAAAATTAATTACATTTATTTGTTTTATTGTTAAATTGGACGAATTTCGTTCAATGAGTGTTTCTCTTTTGCGACAGGAAACGAGAGAAAATTAGGAAAAATGTACGGCCTAATATTAGAGAATATGTCCGAGTACATACGGCAGGTCTACGGAGAAGACAGATGGGAAGAAATTCGACGACAAGCATGCGTGGAACAACCTAGTTTCAGTGTTCATCAGGTTTACCCTGAGAACCTTATACCGAGATTAGCGAAAAAAGCTATTCAGGTAAGCATCACGTGCAAATCGTGTTTCATTATTTACGTCTTTTACACATTTAAGAATATCATCATTGATAAGTTTCCATTTCTCGGTTCATTCTCGAGTTTCTTATTAAATTGAATCTTTCTTTCCTATATATATATATATATCCATTAATGAGTACACAATCTATTTAACACAATTATAGGATCGTGTTTTTAGATAATTTAAGGTCAAGAAACAATATAGAAAAAAAAATAAAATCTGTAAATTGTTTAGTAGTTATATTTAAAAAATATCAAGACATAGAACATTTTTCAATGTTTGTTACTTTATACAAGATTTATTTATATTATCTATTATAGAACCGAAAAAATTTAAGAAAAAAATGGTGAAAATATTCTGCATTCATCAGAATCTGAATTTGAAATATAAAATAAATAGATAAGGTTGAATAATGAAACGGCGTTTTATTTTATATGATTTTATTTATAACCTAAAAATCTACATTTTATTTCGTCATCTCATTGTTTTCGACAATGTTTTAAGAAATGCATGAATTTGTCTATAAGTTTCGAAGCACTGAATTTATCACTTCAATTTTCGAATTTTAGGTAAAAATTTAGGTAATGAAAGTCAGAAAATATTACTTTTTATAATGGGGGAGAGGGTGCAGGGGAGAGGCTTCGTCCTCTCGCGCGCCAATATTTTCGAATTGTAAACATCGAAAAAAAGAACCGGATTAGCAAACTTCGCTATTTGTCAGGCATTTTTCAAGCCGTGTAATTAAAATAAGTTTTACAAAAAGACTATTTAGAGTATTATTTATATTTATTTGTACATTATTATACATTCTACGTATTTTTCCACGGAATGAATTCTATTCGTGGGATCCTCTTTACTTGAAACGTGCTTATGGAATTCTTCGCACAAAAGAGAGAAACCACCCTTAATTTTGAAGTTATTCACGAATAAAGTTTGCCCGTCTCTGTATGGTATCACATTTTGTAAAACACCCTGTGGGAATTTCTATCTCACGAATAAAAATTTCAGAGAAATTTGAGCAGTAGGGTGGACATTACTTTTCAAATTTAGAATTTTTTTTCAGGCCACCCCCTAGAATTGTGGTACTAGATGAAAAAATAGGCTATGTAAAATCTGAAATTGATCGGTGTTTCCATTAAAGTGTATTGATATCATACATTTTAGTATTTCGTCGAATTCGTCTTTTTACAGTTTATAAGAATATAGAAACAAAATTTAGAATTTTTTATTTTACATAAGTCGCGATTTTAAAATTTCAAAAATTGATTGAAGAAAAAAAATATACTTTTTCGCATTCTATTTACTTCGTTGAACAGTACAAGTTTTACCTATAACATTTTTTTATATGTTTATAAATAACAAAAATATTTAAATGATTCCGTTTTTACGTCTTCATATTCTCGTAAAATAAATACTAATTTTCAGTGAAATAATTTAGGTGTATATCAAGATTGTAGTTTCTTAATTATTTAATATTACAATTAATTCATGCGTACAAAGTAGTTTATGTAAATGTGTGCAAAATAGTATTCAAAGACTTAAAGGTACTGTTACATTTGACGATTCAAAGGAGCTTGTGTTCTTTTGGAACAAAAAAGGGAGATTTTGTATTTACCTTGCAGACATCATACAATTTATGAAATTGTTTTGCAAAGTATATTCGTTTAAAAAATGACAAAATCCGAAGGACCAAGTGTTACTTTATTTAAAAAATTTCAAGAAGCGTGGCCTTCGATTGACAAACTAAGATTTGTATCTGAAATTAATAGCAAGTTTGTTCGTCGAAAAATTCCAACCGAGTTAACTCAACAAATTATTGAATTTGCACTTAGAATTTTAGAAACAGAAAAACTTTTGTTTACAATTTTTAATTGCCAAGCGATGTTTAACTCGTAATATCTCATGTTCCCATGAATCAGAATCTTTTTCTAAGAAGTTAAACGGAATAGAAAGTCTTTCAAAAAATGTTTTTGTCTTTTGTGAAATGAAATGCTCAATTCCTGTATCGATATAGTTTTTCACATCTTCAGGAGCAATTTTAATATTTTTAGAAAAGTCGTCTTTTGATCTTTCATTGCTTCCACCATTACTTTTTCCTACCATCTTATCAAAAAATGCCAAACCTGCTGCTTCTAGTGATAAATACAATAAATGGTTAGCAAATTTGGTCAGACCTATATGACTTACTCTTTCGTTAATATTTCGATGTTCGTAGAGTTCTTTCATGAATTCGAAGTTGTAGCATAGAGTTTCCACTGCTATTGAAGCTCTAATCCATACTTTTATACAGGGTGTTCCACATTTTTCCGTACACACTTTAGTAGTGTGTTCTACAAGTAAAACTAAGACTAAAATGTTATATAACAAAAAATCCATAAATGCTTTGTTAAAAGTTATAACAAAAATAATAAAATAAGGTCAATCTTTCGCATTCGATATCGTGAGTTTCTTTGCAATTTAGGGAACATAAACTTGGATAATAGTTCAAAATTTTATGACAACAGAAAGTTATCATCGAAGAAAGAATATTTCAGCACCTAAGATAAAAATAGAAACTAAACTCTGATAAAGAAATGTTTAAGTTATCCACATAATTCTACGTTTAAAATATTGCAGTTGCTCTTTTTAAACAAAATTTTAGTAAATTCGTTTGTTTAGTAAATAAAAAAACATTACATTTCATATTTTTGTCATAACTTCTTAACAAATCATTTATGAATTTTTTGTTATATAACACTTCAGTCTTACTTTTACTTGTAGAACACACTGCTGAAGTGTGTACGGAAAAATGCTGAACACCCTGTATAGAGTCTAGCCAAAAAAATACAAATATCTTGTATTTCAAGTTCTTCCTGAATAATTAAATGAAATTGTTCTTTAAATAAATATATTTTTAGGATACATTTTTTCGTCGAGTCCCATCCAGAAAAATAATTACTAATTTCAAAAACTTTCTATAATCGTCTCAAGGTTGTTTTTCTGTTTCTAAAATTATAAATGAAAATTCAATAATTTGAATTAACTCAGTTGGAACTTTTTATAATCGTCTCAAGGTTGTTTTTCTGTTTTCAAAATTCGAAGTGAAAATTCAATAATTTAAATTAATTCAGTTGAAATTTTTTATAATCGTCTCGTGGTTGATTTTCTGTTTCTAAAATTCTAAGTGAAAATTCAATAATTCGAATTAACTCAGTTGGAATTTTTCGACGAATAAACGTGCTATTAATTCCTGGTATGAATCTTACTTTGTCAATCGAAGGCCACGCTTCTTGAAATTTTTTAAATACACATTTTTGATACCCTTTAATGGAGAAAAGCTGGTTACAAAAATAAAACAAGGTTCAACTTCGATCAATTTCAGATTTTGCATAAGTTATTTTCTCATCTATTGTCACAATTCCAGGGGTCAACCCGGAAAAGTCATGAAAAAAATTTTTCATCAAGCATAACTAAGGTCCACCCTAATGAGCAGTAATAAAAAAAAATACTCGGTACATTTGATACCAGCAGTTCAACTTGTGCTCGAATGTTATATACCGACAAACACACTTGTTAGGTGCACCTGTCGTCTTCATTCAATTGAATACATCCTTCGCTCATATCGCAGGTACTTGGCATAACGGAGAAAGAATTTTTCGATCAGATGGGTGTACACTTCGTAGGATTCGTTGGCCAGTACGGTTACGATCGTGTGCTTTCAGTACTTGGACGTCACGTAAGAGATTTCCTTAATGGATTGGACAATTTACACGAATATCTCAAGTTTTCCTACCCGAGGATGAGAGCACCTTCGTTTATTTGCGAAAACGAAACGCGACAAGGTAAATAATCATCGAACGAACTTTAATTTTCATCTTAACGATAGATTTTCACGGTCATACTAAGGCTGGAAACAGACCAGCGACTTTTCCCGTTGCGACATCACAGCGAATCTATGTGTTTCCTTGTTTTACAATTAAAACAAGGAAGACAGACAATATCGACGTTTTTATATTTGTCTTGATTGTTTTCAATTGCAAGACAAGTAAAAACATAAAATCGCTGTGACATCGCAACGATAAAAGTCGCTTGTCTGTTTCCAATCTAAAATGTAGTTTTTAATTAGGAAGCATATTCGTAACGTGAATCAAATTCAACATAAATTGTTAACAAATAATAATTACGATATTTACAAGCCACAGTTTACAAGTACAATTTTCTGAAACGACATTACTATCTTACTTTGTTGTACAGTCTGTTTGATAAGAACGTGGACGCGATATTTCCAAAACTTGATACTTAATGAGAGGAAGATTGTGTTAGTTTAAATAATTGCAGTTTTCTTTGATGCGCGTTCACTCGAGCCCTTCAGTTTCGATCGTGACAATGCGATATACAACCGTTTTAAAAAGGGCCAAAAATGAATCTTAGAAGTGCAACAGAATATATGCTCTTGCAAATTTGTTAATAACTGAGCACAACGATACAAAGACAATAAGAGTGTCGATGACCTCCTTGATCGAGGGTCAAAGAGGGCAACTACAGAAGAGTAAGACAAAGCCTGTCTCGTTTCCAAGAATCTGTCGCTTTCTTTGTGCAAGGGGCAAATTATTTTAACAAGAAAAGGCATAAATATTGGTATTGTGGTAATCAAACATCGTTTTTAAGCAAATAATGCTGCACATCCAAGCACAATTGTCAAACCATTGCTTTCAATAAGGCACATAAAAAAAGAGACCAGCGCAGCGTGGGCACATTAAAGTCTCTGATGAGTCTTTCTGAAAATGTTTTAATGTTCTTCTGTAATGAAATATAAACTTTGAGGTAAACGCTGTTTGACACTCAAATCATTAAATAGAAAAATTGATAAGATCTTTACCTACAATGGGTGTAATAAGTATTTTTACAGTGACTAGTTATGACTAAAATGCTGAATAATAATGTTTATTAAACAATATTTTTTCAATAAGGATGTTACATATTACATTTTCCAAACAGTACAGAACAACAATATCAAATAAACAAAAGAAATATTTGAGGCACGCATATGGCCGCACGATGGCGCTTTACGTTAGAGTACTGGTCGACCATAGGGAAACCCCCAGTAAAGCTCGACACTCATTGTCAGTCGCGGGGAATTCCCGCGCTTGTCTATTACTATCGAAACAGTGTTATAAAACATCTCTTTTTCGCTACCTCTGTAATTTCGCTCTATGGTGTATTAGACCTGAATAAATTACATTTTATATTCTATCGGACCACATAAACATTATAAATATTTTGTTTGTTTATTTGATATTGTTGTTCTACGGACTTTGTAGTATGGCTGTAACATGTTTGTTTAAAAAATATTGTTTAATAAACATTATTATTCAGCATTTTAGTCGTAATTAGTCACTATATGAATACTTTTTACACCCACTGTACATTATGTGCAGAGAAGTTGTTAGAAAGCATGCCTAAACATTGTGAAGAGATGATCGCTAATGGGGGAGATTGGATCCATTATTAAACAAATACGTATTAGATTTTTAAATATACTTTCGATTTCTACACAACTTTTTACGAAGAAAATTATTTTTTTCTAATTTATCGCGTCCACGCTCTTAACAAGCAGACTGTATTTAGCCATTTTAACTTTACTGGAAATTTCATAACGTATAAAATCAATATAAATGTACAATAAGTGAAATTGTACGAGGGAACAAATTTTGAAGTAAATGCGTTTTAATTAATAAAAAAGGGAGTCGTGTAACATATTACAGAAAGCTTGAAACGATATTAATGAAAAAATAATAAAAAAATAATTGTCGACACAATTCATTAATTTGAACTATGGTTTTCAGAGGTTGATACACCGATTAAATGATAATTTTTAAAAACTCAATGGTTTTTAGATAATAGTTTTGTAAAGATCGTTAGAATCTTCGTATTGTTTTCATAAAATGTATTCTATGAATGCTTGTGTGATTACTATTGTGCTTCTATTTTCTATTGCAGGCCTGACTCTCCATTACAGGAGCAAGCGTCGTGGTTTTGTTTATTACACGATGGGCCAGATAAGGGAAGTGGCTCGTCATTTTTATCACAAGGAATTACAGATCGAGCTCGTGTGCGAGGAGGTCCTTTTCGACACCGTACACGTCACTTTTCAGCTTACCTTTGATAACAGAGCTTTCACTCAAGCTTCGTTGGCGATGACCCGCGAAGAGAAGCACTTGCCCATAGGAGCCTCCGTCTTGTTCGAAATATTCCCCTTTTGTATCGTTTTCGGGTAAGTGGATCGCACAGAAATTGGCACAAATTGTGAAATAATTTCAACATTCCCACGCATATTTTCAAATTTATAAACGCGTTTATCTTCGAAATTTTATTTATTTCATATTTATTTTGATTTTCTTCGAATATTATGGAATTTCAGTAAAAACATAAAATGAATTTTGACAAAAGAAGCCGATAAGGTTGCTTTTTAAAATTTTCACACAACGTTCAATTTTAAAAAGTTCACATTGGTTTTCGTCTTTATTACTTAAATTTCTTAAAAAACTTGTTGAATTTTTTTTTTATGTCGTTGTTTAACGTTGTATAGACCGCTTTGCGAGTTATTAGCGATTCAGGTAAGTCATAGCCTGTTGTACGGTAGGGTGGACCATAGTTATACTTGATGAAAAATTTTTTTCATGATTTTTTCGGGGCACTCTTTGGAATTGTGACACTAGATGAAAAAATAACCTATATATAATCTGAAATTGATTGGAGAAAGGGAAGATGTCGAACATCGAAGTTGCACATTTTTTATTTTTGTAATCTGTTTTTCTCCATTAAAGTGTATCAAAAACGTGTATTTAAAAAATTTCAAGACGTGTGCCCTTCGATTGATAAAGTAAGATTCATACATTTTAGTACCTCTTTGAATACGTGTTTTTACACTTTATAAAGATGTAGAACCAAAATTTAGAAGTTTTTGTTTTTTATAAGTCGCGATTATAAAATTTCAAATATTTATTGCAGAAAAAAATATACTTTTGTACATTATATTTACCTCGTTAAGTACTATAAGTTTTACATATTACATGTTTAGAAATAACGAAGATACTTAAGTGATTCCGTTTTTACGTCCTCGACTTCAAATTTTCGTAAAATAAATACCAGTTTTCAGTGAAATAATTTTGGTGTATATCAAGATTATAGTTTCATAATTATTTAATATTACAATTAATTCATGCGTACAAAATAGTTATCTATTACAGGAGCATCTATTATAGCTTCTGTTAGTTGTTTCAAGACTGTGTTTGTGGTGGTGGAATTGATAGAATTTTGTTCGGTAATTTGGCGATATGAGTTAGTTAGTGACTCACGGTACAATTCCCAGTTGGCTCCTTGGAATTACCATTTTGGTGGTTTGTAGGATTCATGTGCTCGTTCAAGCATATCATCGATTTTGTTAAGGATGAAGGCGGGGGATGAGGGCCATTTTGATTTTTTAATGGTTTGTTCAGGGAGTTTATGGAATTTTTTCGTTGGTTTTAAATCTAGAATCTTGAAATTTCAATCGCTTAATTTGACTGGTTTCGTGCTGCCTTCTTCTGATGTTGTGGATAATGGTCTTTTGATTCCTGTTTTGTTTACGTTCGAGTTTACTGTTTCTATTTCTCTCTGTTCGGTTGTTAGAGACCTCTTGTGTTTCTGGTATTGGGCATTCTATTGTATTTGAGTTATTTATTTCTATCTTTCTGGGGTGGTCGTTGATATGAGGTGGAGTTTGAATTGGCCTGTAAACTAGTTTCCTTTGGATTTGCGTTATTTGAGCATTGCTTGGTAATGTGTCCCTCTTGATTACAGGTAAAACATGTTTGTTTTTTTGTAGCAGCAAATGTTGGATTCCAGTAGAATTGACAACACTTTATTTTCTTAAGAAACTCGTACAACTTGTATTAGGTCGACTAAGTACTAGACTCTTTCAGACCATTCTTCAATATTGCAAGCTTTTATATACTATTGCTGGAGATAGGTAGAGGTAGGGACGATGGTCAAGGGGCAGTGTGACTCAGGAAGGGTGCGAGGTTCAGGATGAGTAAGGATTAGAAATCGTGATTAGGATATTTGGATGAGGATGAGTCTGTAATGTTTGTGATGTGACTGAGTGGTATTTGTATGGTCGTGTAGTCATCCAACACAAATATTCTGTATGATTTGTTATCTATTGTGATTTGAAAGAAGCTAGGTATGCTTTTTGCATCGTCCGAATCTACATACGTAAGTCTGTCTTCTAAAACTCAGTATGTGTGACAGGTCTGGATCTGTGATTCCTGCTTTTGGAGGGGTTATTTTTGAATGTATTTTAATATTGTTTTTCCTGAAAATGTTCTCGATTGCCGAGTTTGGGATTATAGGTGCTATGTTAGACAATATGATTCGTTGGATCGGTAACATCATAGGACGAACTTCTATGAATTGGTGATTAATATAGTTTCGTGTTTCGATGTGAGACTTGTGACTCTTTCTTTACTGTCCAGATACATGCAGATTCTTCCGTTGGAAATCCTTGACAAGTATTTTATGGCTTTGAGTCCTATTATGTTACCATCAACTGATTGCAGTATTATTGCTTGATCTTCGGTTGGAGTGTACTCTTGTTTCGCAACGTTTGCGTACAAGGTTCTAGGTATGATTACATTGGTTTTTTGGGCGATATCATTATTTTTCATTGGAATATATTGGCTTGTGTCGGCTTGGGTGAGGTTATTAATTTCAAAAGTTTTGTACACGACACAACATAATAATAATTCTTTGTTGCTAAAAATAATAATTCTAGCCTACTCGAAAGTAACTGAGGGTGAATTTGATGAGCAACAAGGTTACGAATATTTGTTTGCTTTTATCTTTATAATTTGTTAATTTTCACGCGTCGTGTGCAATCCAATTATTTTCAGGTCGGACATGATTGTAAGGAGTATCGGAAATTCGCTGATGGTGATACTGCCCGATCTAGTCGGTAAAAAGATCACACACTTCTTTGACCTCGTCAGACCGCTCATTGCATTCAAGTTTCATTCGGTGAGCACGACCATTAAAATTTTGTTCTTAAATTAAAAAATCTGCCATTAATATCGTCGCTCGAAATAATGCCTGTATTGCAGATTTTAAACAGAACGAACAACATCTTCGAATTGGTAACCGTGGAGCCGATTCTCACGGAACGTCCGTCCGATCGACACAGAAACGAGATTTTCTTGAGCGACGAGCTCGACTCGGTGAACGACAGAACTTTAAGATTAAAAGGTATTATATTTGCCTTTTTACATGGTATCCGAACTGTCTGGGTTTTGTTAAAAAGTATAGTTTTGTTCGATTACAATTTAATATCACTTATCTTTTCCTTCGTACAAGTAGTTCAGTTAGTTTTACTATATTAGTTTTGTTGGGAAATCGCAAACGAAGAAATGAGGACTCTTCGAAAGTAGAATCTGTGAGCTATCAAAAAATAATCACGAGTAACGAACTAAGTGAACATGAACCAAGGATTTTTTCAAATTTTTTATTCTTCGCGTATAATGTTCGTCGGTTAAAGTCGGTTAAATTATAATTTTTGATCGACGAGCGTTAAATGAATCTTTCCACAAAATTCCACAATATTCTTCAGGCCAGATGATATACATGGATAACTGGAAGATGATGATGTACCTCGGTACTCCCGTTATGCCGGACCTGAATGCCTTGATCGCGACAGGCCTCTACATAAATGATCTTTCCATGCATGATTTCAGCAGGTACGGTGTATTTTACAATATTTCTTAATTCCCTTGAATTCTTACACGTTTGAAAGCGTAACTGAAACGATTCGATGCTTTGTTTTTGCGTTCGTTTATCGTCGTACGTTTGGTATACTACAGTCAGTCAAAAAAGTATTTGTACACCTTATTTTTTGATGATATCTTTATATAAACAAACGAATCATTAACAAAAACTGTATGCATTAAGAGCCTATTATGTGCTAAGATAATGCGTTGAATAATAATTTTTAATAATGTATTACAAAAAAATAATACAGGAAATACGTAAATTTGAAAGTCAAGAAAGTATTTGTACACTTTAATTATGACAGAATGTGTGTGATTATTTTAATTATACAATATAATTATTATTTCGTATGCAGCCCTTTGGCGTCAATAATAGCTTGCAATCTTCGTGGCATTGATTCCAGTAGTTTTTTTAGTTGTTTCGTATGATATTTTGGCTCATTCTTTTAGAATAACTCGTTTCAAATCAGTCTTGTTTAATATCTTCCGTTTCCTGATTTCTGTGTCCAACAAGTGTCATAAATTTTCAATGGATGTCAGGGAATTGTGTAGGTGTAGTAACTTGTTTAGGGACGTTGTGCAACAACCATTCTCTTGTTTTTATAGCAGTGTGCTTGGGATCGTTGTCGTGCATAAAGTAATAATTGTCATTCAAGTTTGACTGCACTTTGTTCACAAATTATTATACTTCGATGTACATCCTGGCATTCATATTCCCCTCAATAAATGCAATTTGGCCTACACCATTGTATGCCATGCAGCCCCATAACATTATGTGTTCTCCGCCATGTTTGACAGTCGGTATGAGATTTTGTTTGCTGAAATTCAGCATTATGTTTTCTCCAAACGAATTTCTTACCGTCAGATCTAAAAATATTAAACTTCGACTCATCGGAGATGATAACACGCTTCCAAAATTCTATTGGCTTGTGGCGTCGCCTCCCATGCTCGCCACCAGAGGGGTCGTGCTCTCACAAGCGCTCGACCGACCCCTCGGTTGGCTTATTTAGATATGTTTTAGCGTAACCTAGTCGCTTGTGGCGCTGTTTTGCTGTGGGTAGGATTTCGGAGAAATTATCATAGGAGGACAGAAAAGGAAAAGGAGGGGGCGGCAGCGTTTCGTCCGGGCCTGCTAGTGGACTCCATCAGTAAGGCTTCCAAAAGCAGGCCCTGCCTGAGACGACTGGGATATTGGAAAGATCATGGCATATTTTCTGTAGTTTTTGTTCTTTCGTACTTTTTAATAATATATTGAACTGTAGCAAAGTTTAAATTTAATGTTTTTCCAATCTTTCTATAACTTTCACCGCGTTCACGTAGAAAAATCATTTTATCTCGCACAGACAAAGGTATTTCATTTCTCTCACCCGTCATGACGTTTAAAATTGTTTTACCTTCAGAGTTACCTTTGATACAGATTCCAAAAGTGGTCGGTAACCTAGTTTTAATTGAAAAATAGTACAATATCATATACATATAAGTTTATAGTTATATGCGAAAGTGTATCAATACTTTTTTGGCCTTGAAATTTATACATATATTTTCTGTATTATTTTTTTGTTACGCATTATTAACAATTGTTACTCAATACATTATCTCAGCTTATAATAAACTATTAATGAAAACAGTTTTTGTTAATGTATTACTTGCTTATGTAAAGATATCACCAAAAAACAAGGTGTACAAATATTTTTTTGACCCACTGTAGTATTGTACAATACAATACTACCAACAATAGAGTCTAATCTATACTCGGATTTCTTTAGGTTCAGCTCTGAGAGGTGGGTCGTTGTAGCAGCGACGTTGCCGATTTTTTGGCTACCTCTTAGCCAATCCTATTCGAGCACTGACTCGTGATATGTTCTTCCTTTGCTACGCCTGTTTCTATTCTTTTCTAAGGCATAAAAACGACCATCAACACCAATGCAACGACGCAGCAATTACCTAGCGACGAATGTTATTGGAAGTCTACAGGGTGTTCGGCCATCCCTGGGAAAAATTTTAATGGCAGATTCAAAAGGCCAAAATAAGATGAAAATCAAGAGTACTAATTTGTTGATGGAGGCTTCGTTAAAAAGTTATTACCGTTTAAAGTTCCACTCGTACTGAATTTTTTTCTCGGAAATGCGTAGGATTTCGGAGATATGTCCATTCATAAAAAATGATTGTAATTGACCCCCGTAACCGAAAATAATTTTTTTAGAACGATTTGAAAAAATTTTTTTTCGCCGAAAAACGGCAGTACGAAATTTCCCCTTGACAATTTTTCTTAAAAAAGTAGTCTAATACTGTCTTGTAAGTACCCATGAGCCTTACTTCAGAAAAATATTTCATTGAAATATATTCACTATTGTAGGAGTTATGGCTGTTTGAAATTTGGACCATTTTTATGGGGGTTTTCTCATTTTACGGGATCAAGGAACAACTTTTTCAATATTGTTAGAATTTTTACATATTCTTCACCAAAATACGCGTTGTTTGCGGTTTGAAACATTAAAATCCTTAAATCCATTCAGAAGTTATGATGTTTTAAAGATTCGCATGAAAATTCGAGCAGATGTTTTTGGCCAGAAATTATATTTTCGGTAAGGAATTTTTTTCTCGAAAGTGGGTAGAATTTCGGAGATATATCTATTGACAAAAAGTGATCGTAATTGACCCCCGCAACCGAAAATAATTTTTCCAGACTGATTTGAAATTTTTTTTTCGCTGAAAAATTTCAGCAGCTACCCCTGTCGATTTTTCTTAGAAATTCGTTTTTGATTTTTAATAATTTTGTTTGACGCCCTACAGAAAAGTTGTCTAATACTTTTTTGTAGGTATCCATGAGCTATACTTCAGAAAAAAGTTTCAATGAGACACACTCACTGTTATAGGAGTTATGGTCGTTTGAAGATTGGACCATTTTTATGGATTTTCTTTCACTTTACGAGGTGAAGGAATAACTTTTCGAACATTCTTGGAATTTCCTCATATTCTTCACCATAATACGCGGAGTTTGTATTTTGAAACATTAGAATCCTCCAACCCGTTCAGAAGTTATGATGTTTTAAAGGGAACCATTTCTGGCCTGACATGATATTTTCAGTAAAGAATTTTTTTCTCGAAAGTGCGTAGGATTTTGGGGATATATCAGTTCACCAAAAATGATTGTAATTGACCTCTGTCACTGAAAATAATTTTTCCAGACTGATTTAAAATTTGTTAATTTAATTTTTTAATAACTTTTTAACGAAGCCTCAAGTAACAAATTGATATTCTTGATTTTCGTCTTATTTTGGCCTCTAGTAATCTCCCATTAAAATTTTTCCCAAGGGTGGCCGAACAACCCTGTATATCTGAATCCCTAAACGTCTTTGCAGCGAGTGATCGACCTCAAGCGTCGATGAGGGTATGTGATGCAATTCGCCTAAACTCCCAGACTCTTATCTGGTCCTTGTATGAAGATTCGCTCTTCCTTAGATCACAAGGCCCATTAACTATTCATTCACGCATACAATTTACACTATAGATTAATTTGTGCCCTAGACTAAATTTACTTTTCAATATTTACATTACCTTCGCGTCAAAGTCTTACTTGATAGACGAAATATTAAAATTTTATTGAATTATTAATATTTAAAAAATTTTAGAGCATTTGCTCCTATAATTCTGTATATTCGTGAATATAATGACTAGATCAACAAGTGTGTAAAGTTTGGTGTCTCAGGTATCAACTTAAAGTAATCTGGCGATACTGGGAATGTTCGTAACGACTGATTTGTAAGTTCTGCAGAAACGAACGGATGCATGTTACAGGGATCTAATGCTTGCTGGTACGCAGCAATCGGTAGAATTGAAACTAGCTCTGGATCAAGAGCAATTGAAGAGCAAAAAGTTGGAGGAGTCTATGAGGAAACTAGACGAAGAAATGAAACGTACGGACGAACTACTTTATCAGATGATTCCGAAACAAGTGGCGGATCGTTTGAGAAACGGAGAAAGTCCTATAGACACGTGCGAGGTAACAAAACTACTTTTTCTTAAAGAACACCTGCGCGACAAAATTTTCCTATTTCATTTTCTTTACATGTATTAAATTCTGCAACGAGTCTGTTCGCGTTTCTTTAAGAACAGAGGCGACGAGGTGGAGCATGTTGTACTGTAGAATAACTCTTGCGATTTCTCTAATGGATTTTCCATTTTTCCAATGAAAAATAATCGCTTTTCTAATTTCCAGATTTGTTTCTTTACTTTTTCTACCCATGATAATGAAGTGTTAAAACGAGAAGTTATAAATAAAAATTAATGCTTCCTGGCTACTTGTCTACGTTTTAGTGTCTATTTTCAGCGATAGTCAGAAACAAATGCTCATCAAATTTATACATTGAATTTGTTTTAGTTGGTTCGTAGCGTGAGCGAATAATTTTGTGCCGTGAAAAAGCGCAAAGATTTGTTATAACTCGTTTTACTGCAATTGTAAATCAAAACTTTTAAATTTTATTTTACGATTTTGTTACATTGATATATAAATTGTGTATATCCAAAGAAAAAAGCTTTAAAAGTTTCGTTATCTTATTCTTTCATTCATCTTTGCCGCATTATTGTCTGAGCGCATAATTTTTTGACCCACTGTAGATGGAACAAATTTAATGGGAGATTTTAGAGGTCAAAATAAAGCGAAGATCAAGAATACCAATTTGTTGATGGAGGCTTCGTTAAAAAGTTATTAATGTTTAAAGTAAAGCGAACAGCTACGTACGCGTGACAGTGGTTCTCACTCACGCAGCTGATCGCAGATTGCCGTTCTACACGCGGAACTTTAAACGTTAATAACTTGTTAACGAAGCCTCAATCAATAAATTGGTATTCTTGATTTTCGTCTTATTTTGGACTCTAGAATCTCTCATTCAAATTTTTTCCCGAGGTGGTCGAACACCCTGTATAAAATATTATTCTGCAATCCTACGAAGAAAATTTGACGGTAACAATGTAAACTTTGAGAAAAAGTAAGAAAACGTCAATTTGGAAAATCGATGAAATTACAATACTTTTACGTAGAACAGACCACTAAATTTTGCCCCTGATTGTACATTTATAATATACATACGTATAGTGTACTTTGCCATTTTAATAAATTCGTTAGATTTCAATATTTTAAAAACAATTAATTACTACGTTTCGTTTTTCCACCGTGGACTGTTTCAGATGTTCGATAGCGTGTCAATTTTGTTCTCGGACGTAGTCACGTTCACCGAGATCTGCAGCAGGATTACACCGATGGAGGTCGTGTCTATGTTAAATGCTATGTATTCCCTTTTCGACACATTAACCGAAAGGAACCGGGTGTATAAGGTATTCTTAGGTAGTAATAGTTAGCATTTATTTGTCCTCGCACCATACGCTTGCTTTCTTTAGAAAACAGCCCGTAAATTTTTTTTACAAGAATTACCTTTCTGGCACGTTTCAATTAATCTGTTTTGCGTAGGATATTAAGAGGGGAAACCACTGACGAATTGAAAAAATCGAAATTGTTTTTTTTAATTCTTTTTAATGTTTGGGATTTTATAACCCCCTAAAATATTAAAGTAAAATTCGCAAAAATGACAAAGTTGCAAAAGTTCTAATAAAAATGTAATATGCTGTGATTAAGTTTTCATATGACTAGGCAGTATTTGGATCGAGATAACTATGTGATCTATCTAAACAGATAAGTAGTGTGAATGAAGAGTTTGAATCAAGCGGATGAAATTTTAAACGCGTTTTTCTCAAAACCAACTTTTTCAAACTGCTCAATAACTTAGTCAATTTTCATTCAATTTACTCAAAATTATGTATGGTGATTTCTAATACTATTCTCTTCGATTACACTTACGGAATTTTCGATCGAATAATTAGTTCCTACCTGGTGTTAAAAGAAATATTGGCTTTTTCACAAGTTTTTGAGATCTTTTTTTTAAAGTTCCACCATTTTATAATAAATTATTGTTTTATAAATCCCTACGTGCGACTGAAGCTTTGTCCTATAAAAAATAGAAAATTGTTTTAAAAAATTGCATGATTTCTTATTTTAGAATTTCTAGTGAAAAATTACACGTCCGGCCCGTTTACAACAAATTTTTGGAGGCCTCTCACGCCGTTTTCTATTATGTCTATAATAATTAATATTTTTATACGAAACTTTTTCAAGCAGTAGTTGCACAAATGTATTTTTGAAAACATTAAAAGGTTTCAAAGTTACTCCCAAAAAATTCTTGAAAATTGCTTTTATTTTCAGCTGTCATAGTGGTTTCCTCTCTTAAACGTTTCGTTTCTTTTTTGCGTGAATTCTTGAAGATCGCTTTTTCCATCAGGTCGAAACGATCGGCGACGCTTACATGGTGGTGTCCGGTGCACCAGTGAAAGAAAACGATCATGCGGATCGTGTTTGCGACATGGCGCTCGACATGGTCGAAGCGATCACGGATCTTAAAGATCGTTCTACAGGTAGGACTGCTGGAAAATGTTCCAAACGTGAGTGCAATTATTATTATTCCATCGTGGTACTCGTGGTGGTAATTATCTTCAAATTTTTTTCAATAAATTTCGTTAACGAAACCAAATAAGGAGATTCCAAGCATTTTCTTTAGATCTATTTCGATCACTAATTTTTACGGTTCTCTTTCGTAATAAAATTTTATAACATAAAGGTTTTGCTCTTGCCCTTGGGAAAAATTTTAATGGGAGTTTCTATGGGCCAAAATAAGACGAAAATCAAGAATACCAATTTGCTGATTCAGGCTTCGTTAAGAAATTATTAAAAAATTAAATTAAAAAATTTCAAATCATTCTGGAAAAATTGTAATTGTGATTGTAATTGACCCCCGCAACTAAAAATAATTTTTCCCGAACGATTTGAAATTTTCTAGTTTTGTCGAAAAATTTGTCTACCTACTCGAATTTTTTTCTCGAAAATGCGTAGGAAATCGGGGGCTTGTCTGTTTACCAAAAATGATTGTAATTCACCCCTGCAATCAAAAATAATTTTTCCAGAATAATTCAAAACTTTTCAATTTCGCCGAAAAATTTTAGCACCTACCCTGTCGATTTTTCATAAAAATCCGTTTATTATTTTTAATAAATCTGTTTGGCGCTGTACGGAAATGTTGTCCAATACTTTTTTGTAGGTACCCATGAGCACTACTTTAGAAAAAAGTTTCATTGAAATATATTTGTTAAGAAAAAGGACGAGATTATTTCTCAGGCACTGGATACATGTACATTCATTGCCTGCTGAGAATGTTCCAGTTACAAATAATTGTTTTTGTCTCGAATGTTTCGTTGCGACCGTCGCAGTATATATTTTCATGTCCAACGGAACGTTTGTGTAAAGCCATATTTTGCTCTTATATAAATTCATATTTTGTTCGTTTTGTGTCTAAGTTTGTTATTTTATATCCTGACCTCATCAACAGGTTATGGTCCCAGGAAACGCGAAAGTATACAGAAAATAAATTTCTTAGACACGCGTAGCTCGGAAAGTGCGGTTTGTTTTTATTTCTCGTTTCTTTCCTTGAGTGAACGTTCAAAATGGATACGGGCAGTGCAGTGCGTCTTGAGCAACTCGGTAAAGACAATTATGACACCTGGAGGATCCAAATGCGGGCGGTTTTAATAAAAAACGACGCCTGGGGTTACGTAAGCGGCGATTTTGCGATGATTGCGAGGCAATCGGACATCATATTGTCGATAAGCCCGTCGGAAATCAAGACAGTGAAGTTGTGCACGACAGTACGAGAGATCTGGCTGAAGTTGGAAGAGATTCACCAATCGAAAGGTCCGGTTCGTAAAGCAGCTCTATTAAATCGTCTAATTTCACATAGAATGGGAGACGGTGATGATGCGCGTAAAAGTACGCAAGAGTTTTTAGACATCGTCGATAAGTTAGCTGACATGGACATAAGGATAGTTCCAGATTTGTTGACGGTAATGCTTCTTCGAAGCTTGCCTGATAGTTTTGAAAACTTTCGGTGCGCAATTGTGTCGCGAGACGATCTTCCATCGCCTGAAACGTTACGTATAAAAATATTGGAGGAGTACGAATCGCGCAAGGAAGGCCGAAGAGTTCCTAGTCAAAATGCAATGGTGGCCGGGAAATCCGTAAACAAGAAAAGCAGTTACAATTGGAAAAGGGAGTCTCAGCCTCAAAATCCAAAGGGTAAAGTGAAGTGTTTTAGGTGCCACAAGTACGGACATTTTGCGAGGGACTGTGACGCGAAAGGGAAAGATCGGTCCGCGAATCAGACTGTTAGACGCGTCGAGGACGTGAGTTTGTACGCCGTGTCGGGCGCGGAAGAACGCGACGAGGTTTTACAGACGTATGAACGGTCGTATGGGGGTGATTGGTGTATCGACAGTGGGTGTACATCCCATATTTGTAACGATGCCCGTGCATTTACGAAAGTTGCCGCGTGGAAGCGTGGACGCATAAATATGGCAAATAGTGCGTGCGCGGAAATAGAAGCGCAAGGAATCGTTCCATTCGCGACGAACATAAACGGGAGTGAAAGAACAATTCGTTTTCACGAGACGCTATATGTGCCGGATCTCCGAACAAATCTCGTGTCCAGTGTGGACAGATCTGGCATAATTGAGTGCATCGAAATCGACAACAGTGACGACGAACTTCCTTAGCGTCTAACGGAATGGTGGGGATAGCAGGCATACACTACCGCACGAGCCACGTGTACGTGAGCTCGGCACTTCGCACAACTTCGGCAAATCGATAAAGAACGCTAGTGTGAGCCTTTCCTTCTTGCTCTTGTAAAAGAGAAACAGCTGAAATACGACCTCGCGATAATCGGCATACGATTCCAAGCCTCGACTGTCCCAGCATTTTTACTTTCCGACCTATGTAAGGTATAAGGAAATTTATAAAGTATCATAATGGAAAAAAAATTTCGAAATTTTTTTTGAGCGGAAATACACGTTTTAGGACCCCCTCATCATATTGTGACTACTACAAAAAAACATATTTTTTTTTTGTTCCTATGCTATTGACATGATTGCGTCTAAACGGCTGAATGAATTTCAATGAAACTTAACATTTAAGTTTTATGTTCTCGTTTTAAGGTCTCATTATATTTTAAGCGTGATCAGTTCCCATATAATGATGATTATACGTCTGTAGTTTTATAATTATTTCGATACATATACATCATTTGTAACAAATTTTTAAAGCGATTTATATAAATCTTAAGAAGGATTAAGATCAAATATACTTTTCTCCTATCTTTCCTAGACAGGAAAAATTAAACGAAATCTTATGCCTTGCATACCTACCTAAACCACATAAAAAACGTATTCCACAAATATTTTAGAATAATGTTGTTCATAGCAGTCTTACTCGTAAAGGGTTAATTAAGGGTTAATTAAAATGAAAAAACAACTCTTAGCCAGTACCGTGCACGCTACAGAAATAGATTACTACTGACTTTTCCCACTATGTTTTTTAATAACCGTATCAAATTGTTACACACAATCAAATGTTATATATTTGACTTAACTTTACATAACAAAATAATTGTAACGATAGGTAAAACAATAACGTGCACGCTACCGTTCAATGGAAACCACGGGAAGGTGGTGGTCACTTCCATCAGGAGGGAAATGTAAAAAATTGTTATTTCTTTGTAACATTATCACATGCCATATATTAAAATGTTTTTATTAATGTAATGAAATTACAATATAATGAAAAACTAACTCGTGAATGCATTAATTTTTATTAATATACACACGAGCCATAAAAATGGAAAAATGATACAATTGTTTACATTTCCAAAGGATGGGATGTTGGGATAGGACAAAATCCAGAGACCAAAGCATATCTTTATTTTCTAAATTACGCTCTTGAGTTTTTTTATAAATTTAGCATTTTCTTTCAAACTCAAGAGACAAGAATTCATTTGCTTCAAAAGACTGCGGCAGAACTTTTATGCGATATATTACGCAATTTTCTGAAACCGCAGCTTTTGAAACACATGGATTTAGTAAGAATGATGAATTTTTCTGTAGTCGAAAATCAACTCCCATTTAATAGTATAAATTTAGGAACAGAGTGTCTTAATTTTCTGCATCAACTGAATGCAGAAGGCAAGTCCGACATCGTAGAAACCGTAAGGAAAAATTGTTTAATGTTTTATATTACAGCTGCAAATGAAATTCGTCATCGATTGCCAATCGATGACGAATTTCTTAGCAACTTGTATGTTTTTGAACACACTTTTATATTAAATGATACAAATAGAGACATTTCCTTCAGAAATGTTCTCTTAATCGCTAAGAAATTCGGCGGTTTCGACGAAGGACTGCAAACAGAATGGTCAGTATTGCCTTTGGAATTTACAACGAAAGGTAGACAGACGCTTATCGAGATGAAATTCGATGGTTTCTGGAAAACAATTTTATTAACGCGAAATTTGGACTATAAAATTAAATTTCCTGAATTGATGAAATTAGTAAATACAATTAGATCACTTCCAAATTCCAATGCCGATGCAGAAAGATTGTTTTCCATGTTACCTGACATAAAAACAAAGAAACGGAATAAACTTTCTTCGGCCAGCGTCAACTCTATTTGCGTTGTGAAATCTTCGTTAAAGGAGCAGAGGGAAAACTCTCAACCCATGGAGGTAGATGACGATCATCTAGCTCTATTGTATTCCAAAAATTTATATCATAGATTTGCTAAGAAGCAAAAGTGTAATTTAAGATTAAACGCAACATATGACAATAACTTTGAGAATTTTCCCGCTACGTCATATGACGAAAATTAAGGTACCGATTTACTACAGAGCTTTTCTCTAGAGAGATTTTTCTCTCCAGAGAAAAGCTCTTTAGTAAATTCGTACTATTAGGCTGCAATGACAGTATAAACGTTTTCATGCGACGTCGCGGTAGACTGATCTTGTTACGTCAACGGTACCGCGACGTAGGCGCAACAAGGTGTGATGCATGTATGTATGTGCCATAACGTGACGCGAAAGCGCTTACACTGCAACCGCAGTCTTGTTAGTGATGTCCAAAATATTTTTTTTGGACTTCGCTAATATGTAAATAGTCGTTCAATTTGTCTCGCATTGTTACTTTTTTTACGTATTTCGCTTGCTGTAAATACTATTCTGCTTGCTCTAACTATCATTTTTTTTCTTCATTTATTTGCTTATATTTTGCCGTATATTTTTAGTTAGTGAAATTGCTTGCTGTAGATAGTGTGGCTATGACGTAGAATGTCGCGCCTTGTTACACTTACGTCACGGTACCGTAAGAGCAACAATGCACGATATAACGTGCCAGCTTAATCGCAAACGTCCTATTCCAACATCCCATCCTTTGGAAATGTAAACAATTGTATCATTTTTCCATTTTTATGGCTTGTGTGTATATTAATAAAAATTAATGCATTCACGAGTTAGTTTTTCATTATATTGTAATTTCATTACATT